CTCCAGAAAAAGATGCAAGTTTTAAATTTTCTTAATATGAAAAATGAGGAAGATATCACTTTTCCAACCTTTCTTTGGACATAGCACACAACAGCTACCAAGCTGTGAACTTTCCCCTCATGATCCAGGCGATACTCTGAAGAGCTGCTTTATGAATGGCATTATCTTCTGGGCCAAGAACAAAAAGCAGAGATATCCTCTACTTGTACACAAGAGACACTCCCTGCAGATGAGAAAAGAACTATTCTTGACAAGTGCCTTGTAACTTAGCAACAAATAAAACTGGAGCATGGGCAGGGAGCTGTGCTCCACTTGGACTACCTCTGGAGATCTTCTACCTGTTTTTGTTTGCTATTTGCCACTGCAGAAAGGTTTGCACAATGGTGCAAAGCAAGCCATAGGTGTCTGAGCAAAGAGAAGAAAGGACTGTCAACCAGGGCAAGACAAAAAAGCTTTGGCAGTTCTGTTACGATGAAGTAACTAAAACTGAATGGAAAACATTTCTTTCTATTGTCAGTTTTATTTTGACATCACCAGAAGAGTCCGAAGCTTCCTCGCTATAGTTCCTGGGGACTGCAAAAGAAAGGGGTAAGTATTCAGGAGCTGATGGACAACCAAATTCCAGGCTAGTAAGTGATAGGTCTCTGGTTTTACCTCCGTAGCTCGAGACATACCGTCTACTTTGAAAAGCAAAATGGTAAAAATCGTTTAACAATGACTGCTGTTGTTTTCGCACATTACCACTACTGAACATAGAAAGAAACGGTAACTGCTTACTTCAGAGCTGCTTTTTTTAAAAAGCATATTTACATGCTAAGCCATCTAAAACAACGTAGACCCATGGTCACCGAGAAGATTGTCAGTGAAAAAAATGCCTGATTTTTGCCCATATCTTTTGAAACTGTGTTCCACAGAGTTCCAGGTAAGATATCTAGTGGTATCAATGAGAATCAATTGTAAGCAGACCATGGATAGCCTACCATGATCTTTACCAAAATGCTGTTTATTTTGCCAGCATTATATGTATTATGCTAAAGTAATCACTGGCCCAACTCCTTGGGAATTTGTACTACAAAAGGCTTTTTGCAAAATTTGTTTATTAGTCCACACTTTTGAGAACTCTTACAGATTCTTCTTAGTGCATTAGCGCTAAAATTTCACTAAACTAAAGATTACTTCACATATTCCCCAAATGCTTTCTGAAAAATATTTTTGAGGTAGAATGTCAGCACATGATCCTTTCAGATTTTTACAGAAAGTCTCAGAATATTTGAGTTTGAACTGCTCGATAACTTTGTGCAAAACATGTTCAGCA